TATTTGGTGTTAGGGACCTTCCTAATTAAGACGAGTTGAGCCGTTTAATGTCGAGGCACGTATTACAATGTTCAGTCAGCATTGAATACAAAAACCGCTTGCAGGATGCAGATCTACCCATTCCAGGACATCGTAGTTTCTCAGTTTCATATCCCGGCATTGAAGGAGTCGTCGTCATGTATGCCGGCTTTGCCGACTTCCTTCCAAATCTGGGGCCNNGTGTTTCCGGTGTCTCGGGGTCAAGCGGGATGCAAGAACTCCTTGCAGAAGGGGGACCGATTTTCGGTCCTTCTCTTTACGAGAGTCGGGGCCAGGGACGCCGCGTGCGGTTTCGGTTTCGGGCCTGGTTTCGGTTACGGTCTAGCTATGGTTTCTGTTACGCGTCGCGTTGGCTGCCGTTACAGCGGCAGAAACCGAGTTCCGTTACGGTCGAAATGGTTCCCGTTACACCCCGCACCCTCAGGCACACGGCATCCTCTGTCAGCATTTGCCTCACGTCAGGCTCCGCGCATTTGCCACCTTGCCAGCGTTCCTCGCTTGGCCGCCGGCCACTGCAGCATGCCTGTGCGTGGCCCTTCGTGCCTCGCTGCCTGCATCGCCGCCGTGCCGGGCGCATCTTGACAGCACTGCCCTGTGTAGGCCCAGCCATCGAGCGGCGCTGCCGACGTGACCTCACACTCCGCCTCAACTTGGATTGGTGTCCTCGCACGCTAGCTGCCTCAAACATGCCCCTCACCTCGCCCCCCCAGCACCCCGTTTTCCGACGGCGTCGGGGCCGTCTTTGAGCAACAGCGCCGTCAGTGGCGCCAGCCTCATCGCCACAAATGGGCAGGTTGGCCTGCCAGTTGTGCCGCGCCGCCCCGCACGCACGTGTCTTCTGCCCAGTGCTGGGTTGTCCTTGCTCTAACCCCGCCTCCCGTGGCTGGGACACTCACACAAGCATGCGAGCCCACCGCAACGATCATTGCGCTGGATCCCTTGCTGGGGACGTGCCTGCTGCCTATCTCGCCCAGCATTCGCATGACATCTGCCAGGTGTGCGGCACGCTTGTCGCACGCCGCTACAATGGCACCACCCCCGGTGCAGGCCCGAAGCACGAGCCTCTGCTGCCTCTCAAGCGTCCCTGCCAACGTCTGTCGGCACGCTGCTGGGCCGGACCTTGCTGAAGTGTTTCAGGCTCGGGCGTCTGTGCCCAAGTCTGCACGCCGTGTGTGGGCTCAGTGCCTGGCCAGGGCCCTGGCCACTGCTGCCTCCTCCAACACTGTGCTTGCTTGGCGTGACGTGCTCATGCTGCCAAACGTCGCGATGAAGCGGCCCGACAAACCATCCGCCGGTGCCGGCGCTGGCTTGAGGGTGAACGGGAGGAGCTGCGGCGCCTCTCCAAGTCGGGGGTTGCTGTCTCCTTGAGTTGTGAAGCCGTCGTCCACACCTTCCAGCAGTGGGCCCACCGCGCTGCATGCCACGTCTCCAACGCTAGTGACTTTAGCAACATCTTTGATAAACAGAGCAGCTCCGAAGGAGGTGGGCTTGCACATGCCCGGCTTGGCCCCTTGGGCCAAATGGTGTTAGGACCGCCCCAGCCGCCTGATCTTCGAGGATTCCTGCCTGTTTTTGAAGCAGGTGTCCAGCAAGGTGACCTGCTCAGCCCTTCCCTCTTCTCGCTTCTTCCAGCCGGCATTGCAGGCCCCTCTGGGTTAACCCCGCCTGACCTTTGGCCTTGCAGGCGACTAGCGCCGGAGCTCT